CGGCCCCGAGGTCAGCACACCCCTGGCCTGTTTGACAGCTCGCCCCAGATGCAGGATGAAGTGGGCCAAGCAGAAAGAGAGCAGATGTCATCCCTCAGAGGGAGCAGCAGGGCTGCCAGCAGTCCCCTGGGCAGGGAAGCCCTTGTCACTGTTTGCAAACCTGGTGCTCCCTTAGGTTCTCGTGTGAGGCTCTGCCACACTCCGAAATGGGCAGAGCCCCCCAGCTTCGGGATAACAGGCAAGCCCTGTGACAGCCCCTCCAGGCCGCCGTCAGCCAGCCCCAGCCACCACACCAGCCACGCTTGTGAGCGCTCTCTGCACAGCCCCCGGTGGGAGAAGCTACTCCCGACAAAGCAGCACATTCTTGTTTCAGCTTGGACTTGCCTGGAACAGCTTTTCCCACCACTCCCACCTCCGCTGCCTGGTCCTTGATGGATCTCTCTCCCCCGCCCCAACACGCAGTCCCCCAGCCAGTGGGGCAGACCACACGTCCACAGCACAACCCTACACCCCTGTCCCCGTCCCCAGCTCTAACCCAAGCTGCCGTCTTCTGTCTGGAGACTGAGAAGCCCCATTCTCCGACACCCTCCCTCCCAGCTCGTCCAGGACCACTCACTGACCTGCGTCTCCAGGGCCTGCAACACCTCCACACCCCCCAACCAGCCATTCAGCCCAGCGCCACCTCCCCTGCTTCCAGCTTACCTGCTCTCAAGAGCCCTAGTGACAACAACCCTCTGACCATCTGTTGAGACCCGAATGACCTCACCTTTGTTTTAATTCCTTTAGATTCCAGGCCCCCATTGTGAACCACTTCTCTACAAACACCGGAAATGTGTTTCTTGCCCCTTCCTGCTTTGCCATATGTCCCTGGAAAAAGAAACCCCAGCTAGGATCCTGCATTGTGCCTGGATCCAAGCCCAACTTTATAAGCTCAGAGAAGAATACACAGTTGTGCTAACTGGCCCCATTTTATATCCAAGAGCACAATCAAACGAAGCCCAAGACCTTCCAACAATTCATTCCAACAGTGCACTTTCCCACATGACTGCTGCACCCTGTTCTTTCTCTTAGCAGACCTCTATGCAACAAGCCTCCCTGCCACGTCATCTGCACAGTTCGGGTGGGGAAGAAAGACCCACCACCCCCCCGTCTGGCCCTGGCCAAGGCCTGGGTCCCCTCGTTCCTCTTGCCAGAGATTGATTCAGGCAGCCTAGACTTTTCCCAACTGTTGCACGATATTCCCTGGGCCAGAGATGAGTTCAGAAAGAGAGGCACATGATCCATTTGGGGTCAAGGGTGTCTTAGGGCTCTGTGATAGAAGGCTGATGGCTTCTGACAGGGCAGAGCAGGTACCAACCCTGTGGCTCCTGCAGGGAGGGAAGCAAAGTTCTGAAGCCCGCTGTTAACAGGCCCTGTCGGGCCACCCGGAGGGAACCCTGGCTTGGAATGAAATGGCACCAGGCAGAGTGACAAAGACCCAGGCTTCTCTTGCGTTGTGCAGGGGCTGAGTCCAGTTCGCCTGGAGTCGGCCTGCCTCTACGCTTTGCAGTCAACAAGGACCAGCCACCCGAAGAGCAAGTGGTTTGAAGTTGTCTGTTCCCTCCGAAGCCACACCGACTGCTCAGGGCCCTTCCCATCCCCAGCTCCTGGCCTCACGTCATGTTTGGTTGGGGAGGTGGGAGCCATCAGACGCCGGGCCCCGCACCTTGCTCCCACCAGGGCTCCCAGCCCTCTGCAGCACATGCCCTCTGCCTCTCCTTCCCAGGGAGGCCAACTTGCTCCCCCTCACCTGAGACTTCAGGAACCTCAGCTCTGCTTCTCGCCTCAAGAGCGACTTCCATTTCCCCCTCTCTCTCGTGCATCACCGGCTTTTCCTTGTCTGCTGGGGCGACCCTTGTGGCACACACATCCCTGGGAGTGTCTACAGCAGCCGCCCCTGGACCCCTCCAGCCCCTGACTCATTTCAGGTCTCCACTCCAAACCAAGTATCTCGAAAGAACTGTCCATAGCCTCTGCCTCCCCACCTGGTGTTGCTTCTCTACATTCCACCCAAGGTGCTCCTGTGTCGGTCCCCAGTGACCTTGGCCATTGCAACCCCATGGTCACTTTTCTGTCATCACCTCACTTGACTGCACGATAGCCTTCTGCACAGCTGGCACTCCCTTCCTGCAACGCTTTCTTCCCTTGGCGTCTGAGCCGCTGCACACCTGGCCCCCCGGCTGCCAAGTAGTCTCTCCTGGTTCCCCACTTGACCCCTAGAAAACTTCACTCCCTGGGACTTGGCCACCAGCTTGGATCTCTCCTCAGGACACGCGGCCTGTCCCACAGCTTTAAATTCACCCCACCCCATCTCTCTCTGCAGCCACACACGTCCACTGCCTCCTGGACTCATAGATCCCACTGCCACCGTGGTATCCCCACACTGAAGTCCAACAGACAACTCAAACACGACTCCCACCTCTCCACACACACAGCAGTTCACTCTCCATTGCAGGAAACAGCACCCACAGCCAACCAGTGCCAAAGCCATCCTACCCTTCTCCCACTGACCAGCCACATCAGCACACCCTGTCAGACTCACCCTCGGGCCGTCCCATCTCTCCACACGCACCACCTGTCAGTGCAAGTGCCACCCAGATGCAAACTAACCACCACTATGGAAGGAGGGTGGTGGTTCCTCAGGAAAGTCGTCACAGAATGCCCACAGACATGAGGCCTGGCAAGTCCACCCCAGCTATGGACCCAAAAGCACCAGAAGCAGGCGTGCAGACACAAACGTGTGCATTAGCCAAGAGGTGGGCACCAGCCTGACTGGCCCCTGTGCCAGACTGTTTCGTCCCCAGTCTTCCTATGGTTGGTCCCTGCTCATCCTCAGGTCTCTGCTCCAACCTTGCAGGCCCTCCCCAGCCCCTAGTCCTGCCCTCAGTCACACCTTCCAGGTTACCCCCTTCACGGCCCCCCACTACTGCACACACTTGTTCCCTCGTGTGCTGTCCACCTCCTCCAAAGGCAGCAAGGGCTCCCTTCCTGTCTTGTTCAGCACACAGGAAAGCTGAGCCCCCAAACCCCGAGTCCAGACGCCCTTCCTTCAGGAACCCCCCCGAGTCCTCTGCCATGCTGTGCCCAGATGAGTGCGTGTGATGGCCCCTTTCTGCCTCCCTCTCCGATGAGAGACCCCGGTCCCGAGATCCCCATGTTCCACCAGGCACAAGGGAACAGCATGAAGCACCAGGTCCTCCGAGGACGCACAGCGATCACGACCACCAGGCCTTGGACAGAGTGCTCTGCACGTGCTGTGTCTGTTAAGCTTCAGGCTTGATGATGGGGAAACAGGCTTGGGGAGGTCAGTAACTTTTCTCAGCCACACAGCCAGCCACAGGGAGATACTGGGAGACCCTCACTCCGGATCCTTGAGCAGCACCGTCTCCTGGGAGACAGCCTCCTGTCTGTTGGCTGCAGGTCAGACCCCTCCCACCTCTGCTCTGTGAGGTGCAGGTGTCTCCCCTAGCTGTGGCACAAATCTGCACGGGACCAGCTGAGGCCCATGCTGTGCCCTCTCTACCAGGGGTCTCACCAAGTAGTGGCCGCTGCCCTCCTGAGAGGTTCTTAACCAGGGGGAGGAGCACTCAGGGCTCAGCCCAACAGGGACTGGGCCTGAAGCTGCCCTCAGGCTGGTGGAGGGACGGGTGTGGTTGATACACCTGGTCAGGCAGCCCGGCAACCCCTGCTCCCTCAGTGACACCTGCAAGGAAGACACCCAACACCTCTCCTATTCCACACTCAGGTCCCGGCCCAGGCAGCTTGGGCAAAGTCTCCTCTCCCTGATGGGGTAACCGAGGTCCCAGCTGTCCCGGGCCATGGGCCCTGTGTGCGCCCAGCGTGGTCAAGGCTGCTCCTCCCCCTCCCCATGCTCAGGCTGCAATCAGCCCACAGCCTGCATGCTCTGGACCTCCAAGGGCCCACATCGAGGTGTTCGGGCTCACCAGCATGTAAACTGCACCATTAATCACAAAAACAAATGTTGCTCTCACGCCATAACATGATTCCTAATGAGCTCCTCACTAGGCGCCAGACCCTGTGTAATTACCTCTCAGCCCTCCCCACCACATCGTGAGAGACGCAGAAGCCGGACTCTGACAGCCCCAGTGACTTGTCCAGGGTCCCACGGCGCCCACATGCAGACAAGAGTGGGATCTGAGGTCGGGGCTGAGCCGCCTCTTCCTTCCAGCCCCTGTCGCCTAAGCTTTACCGATTCACTCTGAAACCAGGCATGCTGGCCTGGTGCCCCCTGAGTCACCAAAACGCCCCCAGTCCAGCAGGGGCTCTGACCGCCCCTTGGTGAGGGATGATGGGGCATGATCGGGCAGGGCCGTGGGGGGCGCAGAAGGGTGACATGGAGATGGGGTCCAGGCACATGGGACATGCAGGCCGCTCGCTACACTTACCACCTGAGGGGGCAGGAGAGCCCAGAGGGGGTCCCGGAGCAGACAGAGGAAAGAAGAAGGGGTTGTTGAGCCTGGAGAAGCAGTGAGCCAGCCAGAGCCAGGACCAGAGCCCGCCTCACAACCAGGGCACCCTATACTTGTTGGCCTAGTGAGGTTGATGAGAATGCTTCTTGGGGTCACCTAGCATTTTGCCTGGCAGGGGCTGCTCGGGGCACAGACGCCCATCGGGCTGCATTTGGGCTTGTGGAGGAGGGTTGGGAAGAGGAAAGCTGGCAGAGTCAGGACTCGGGGCGCACACCCTGCTCAGCACCTCCTAAACTCCCATGGGCCTCGACTGTTCTCACTGCCCTGCGCCGGGGCTGAGACCCACGCAGATCTCAGGTGGGTACAACCAGGACGAGGCCAATTCTAGAAGCCAACCTGCCAACTCCAGATCTGCTGGGAGGAACACAGTCACCGAGCGAGAGGACTCCGGCAGGGGCTGGGTAAAGGGCTGGCCCCTGGGCTCCCCAGGGAGGGCCAGAGAGCAGGCACACCCCCGCTCCGCCCCAACTCACGTGGCCGTGCAGGTCTGTGTTGAGCAGCATCAGCGCGCAGGTGAGCGTGTGGATCCCGTCTAAACCAGAGACCGTGACGCCCTCAGTGTGAGCACCCGACTCATTGCCACCCGAGCCCTCCACCTGTCTCCCAGAAGGGCCAGCCTGGAGGCCCTGGAGACAGGAAAAGGCCACGCCCAGCTCAGGGCCCGGGGCCCTGCCCATGCCCACCCCGGCCACTCTAGCCCAACATCGTGCCTCCTGTGGGCACATCCGCCTTGAGCCTCAGAAGCAGGAATGACCACACCCGGGCCCTGACTCCACATGGGTCAATCATGGGCTGACGCTCCCAGGGCCTGGGACGTGGGTTCACCCAAAGGACAAGTCCTGCCCTGAAGAGGGCCCGACCCAGGCCTCCACTGCAGTGGGACCCCCACCCCGGGAACCCTGGGGAACTGGGAGATAGACCCAAAGGACCAACTCCCTAGCACAGAGGACCTCGAGGCCCTGCGGCAGACCACTCATCTAGCGTTACCGAGAGCCCGCTGTGTGCCAGGGAGGAAGATCAGCTGGACCTGGCTGGGGCACGGGGACACAGGCGAGGGGGAGGCAGAGGGACGGGGCCGTACCTTCCGAGGTGCTGTCGTCAGGGTTGCACTGGCAGTACCGGCGGGAGAAGTGTGTGAGCACCCGCTCACGCTCCTGGGTCTCTCCCATTAGAGGGAAGGCCTTCAGGAAGGTCCTGGAAAGGAAACCACGGCTGCCGAGGGCATCCCAGAGCTCCTAAGTCTCACCCAAGGTAGACACACACATGCCCCAGGGGCCAGGGGCATCTGGGTCAGGACAGCCTCTCCAGGCCCAGGGAGACCCCAGCCTCCAGGAGGGCCTCTGAGGGCTGAGAGCAGGGCCCTGACAGTGTTGGAGTCTCAGCCCTCCCCTCCCGCCTCCGCCCTAGGCCCAGGGCCACTCTGGAAGTGAGCAGAGACAGGTGAGCACGGGCCGCGCTGACACAGCAGTTAAGGTGCCACCTGGGACACCTACACCCTACACCACAGTGCTCAGGTTTGAGTCCAGCTCTGCTTCTGCTTCCAGCTTCCTGCTAATGCTCTGAAGGGTCAAAAGATGGCAGCTCGGGGCCAGCGCTGTGGGGCAGCAAGTTAAAGCCCTGGCCTGAAGTGCCGGCATCTCATATGAGCCCCAGTTCAAGTCCCGGCTCCTCCACTTCTGATCCAGCTCTCTGCTGTGGCCTGGAAAAGCAGTAGAAGATGGCCCAAGTCCTTGGGCCCCTGCACCCACATGGGAGAAATGGTAGAAGCTCCTAGCCCCTGGCTTCAGATCAGCTCAGCTCCAGCTGTTGCGACCATTTGGGGAGTGAACCAATGGATGAAAGATCTCTCTCTCTCTCTCTCTCTCTCTCTCTCTCTCTCTGCCTCTCTGTAACTCTGCCTTTCAAATAAAATAAATAAATCTTAAAAAAAAAAAAAAAGTATAGCTCAAGTACTTGAGTTGCTGTCACCCACAAGGGAGACCTGGATTGAGTTCCAGGCTCCTGGCTTCACCCCAGCTGTTATGGGAACTTGGGGAATGAACCAGCAAATAATCTCTTTCTCTCTCTCAAATAAAGTAAATACAATTTTTTTTTAAAAAAAATTACTAAGTAGGGTTGGCATGTGGCGTAAAGTTGAGTAAAGCCGCCGCCTGCAGTGCCGGCATCCCATATGGGCACTGGTTCAAGTCTCAGCTGTTCCACTTCCAATCCAGCTCTCTGCTATGGCCTGGGAAAACAAGAGAAGATGGCCCAAGTCCTTGGGCCCCTTCACCTGTGTGGGTGACCCAGAAGAAGCTCCTGGATCCTGGTTTCAGACAGGCCCAGCTGTGGCTGTTGTGGCTGTTGGAGAGTGAACCAGCAGATGGAAGACCTTTCTGTCTCTCCCTGTCTATAACTCTACCTCTCAAACAAACAAATATTACTAAGCATGCAAAGAACCAGGACATATGATAGAAAAACAAGAGACACAGGGAGCAGGTACTTGGCACAGCTGTTAAGTCACCTGCATCCATACTGGAGGATCTGCCCTGAAGAGGGCCCGAACCAGGCCTCCACTGCAGTGGGACCCCCACCCCGGGAACCCTGGGGAACTGGGAGATAGACCCAAAGGACCAATTCCCTAGCACAGAGGACCTCCAGGCCCTGCGGCAGACCACTCATCTAGCGTTACCGAGAGCCCACACAGAAGGGGAGTGTATCCTACTGTGCGAAGGCCACGCTCAGGCATCGCAGCCGCGCTCACTAACACCGGGCTGACCAAGCTGGGGCGGCAGCAAGACGCTCGGCTAACACTGGACTCGGTTCACCTTTGACACCTGGGGGGGGGGTGGGGGGAGGGAGGCTGGGGGTCCTTGCGCTTGGGAAGATCTGGGCTCAAGTCCCAGATCTGCTTCTGCTTCCACTTCCTGCTAGTGGACACCCCGGGAAGCAACAGCGGATGCCTCAAATACTCCGGTCCCTTTCACCACATGGGAGACCTGGATTCAGTTTGGGGCTCTTGGCTTTGGTCTGGCCCAGCCCCACAGACTGTAGGAAATTGGGGAGTGAACCAATGGATGGAAATTTCTGTCATCTACCTATGATCTATCTATCTATCATCTACCTTTGCCTTTCAAATAAACAAATAAATTTTAACTGCTTAAAAACAGAGACAATAGAAGCAGATAATTTAGAAGATGCAAACATTGGAGTTAGCAGACAAGGACATTTCCACAAATACATTCAAGAAAAGAGAAGGGGAAATGGAAAAAATAAATGAAATGACAAGGAATTTACAGAGAATGAGAATCTTAAAAATTAATAAAATGGGGGCCAGTACTGTGGTGTAACAGGCTAAGCCTCCACCTGCAGCGCCGGCACCCCATATGCATGCCGGTTCCTATCCAGGCTGCTCCACCACCTAGCCAGCTCTCTGCTATGGCCTGGGAAAGCAGTAGAAGATGCCCAAGTGCTTGGGCCCCTGCACCTGCATGGGAGACCCAGAATAAGCTCCTGGCTCCTGGCTTCAGATCAGCCCCACACAGGCCATTGCAGCCATTTAGGGAGTGAACCAGCAGATGGAAGATCTTTCTCTCTGTCTCTCCCTCTCTCTGTAACTCTACCTCTCAAATAAATAAATAAAATCTTTTTTAAAAAAATTAGTAAAATGAAATTCTAGAACTAAAACATATGATAACAAAAGCTAAAAACATGGGGCCAGCATTGTGGCACAGCAGGTAAGGCCACTGCCTGCAATGCTAACATCCCACATGGGTGCTGGTTCATGTCCCAGCTGCTCTGTTTCCAGTCCAGCTCCCTGCTAATGGTCTGGAAGGGCAGTGGAGGATGGCCCAAATGCTTGGGCCCCTGCACCCATCCAGGGGACCTGGAGGAAGCTCCGGGCTCCTGGCTTCACTTCAGCCCATCCTCAGCCATCACCACCATTTGGGAAGTGGACCAGCAGATGGAAAATATGTGTCTCTCTCTCTCTCTCTGTCTCTCTGTCTCTCTCTCTGTCTCTCTGTCTCTCTCTGTCTCTATCTCTCTGTCTGTCTCTCTCTGTCTCTCTGTCTCTGTCTTTCTCTGTCTCTCTCTCTCTGTCTCTCTCTCTGTCTCTCTGTGTCTGTCTCTGTCTCTCTGTGTCTCTGTCTCTCTCTCTGTCTCTGTCTCTCTGTCTCTCTCTCTCTGTCACACCCTCTATTGCTCTGTAACTCTGCCTTTCAAATACATAAAATCTTTTTAAAAAGGCAAAGGAACTAAAAATGCAGCAAACGGCTTTACAGCTGATTTGAAACAGGAAAAGGTAAGTGAACTGAAAGCAGGGCCAACAGCAAACCCCAACGAGGCAGAGGTGAAACACTGGGAATCCCTCGTCCTACAGAGGAAGAGCACGAGGGACAGTCACAAAGTCTGACTGATGCAGCGCCCACCCCCGACCAGCACCTGCTGCTTGTCCGCTTCCCCCCCACCCACCAGCAGAGCCTGCTGGACTCTGGGCTGTGTCCACCAACCCCACCCCCTCCTGTTCCCAGGGACCTTCACAGTCACAGCTCCCCCTGGGGGGGCCCTGGGAGGGGTTCCTCCTTGGGCCCAAACACCAGGAAGCCCTGAGATCAAATCCCACTTGACCATCTCCTGCCTCGGTGACTGGAGGAAGTCTCTCCACCTCTCCAGCCCACGGTTCCCGCATTTAAAACACAGGAGTGACAGCACCTACCTCGCAGGGGCACGGGGAGGATGTAGGGAGAGAGGCGCACACAGATGCCTGGCGTCGGGCCGGCGGGAGGCACTCAGTCTACACCGGTCCTTTGCTGCCCTTCTTCCCTCTAAAGGGTCCCGACTACATTTCCACCTTTACAGCCCCTACCCAACAGGCTCATCAGAGGGGCCAAGACACTGGCCCAGGGCAGCACAGCAAAGTTTATGATACAGCAGGCATGAGAAACCAGACGGTTGCCAATGCCACCCCAACCCCACTGACCTGAGCGCTCGGTCCAGAGTCAGGCCCGAGAAGTCGAAGAAACTGAGGTATTCCCCAGCCACCAGCCTGCTGAAATCGTTGCTGCCAGGAGAGCAGAGTGGGGTGTCCATTAGAAGCAGGGTCCAGCCCAGGATGACAGAGCAACAGGGAGTGTTGGGGGGAGTGGGCCCCAGGGAACCCGGCCCACTCACCCTGATCACACAACCCCCAAGCTGCCTCCCCCGTACTGGCCAGTCAGGATCGGACAATTCCACCACAGGCTGGGGACCAAGAAGGCTTCTTAGAGGAGGCGGCGTCCCAGCCCACACAGGGAACTGACAGCCGGGTGAAGGCAGTGGAGCCAGGATGCTCCCCAGCAGAGGAAACGTGGCCAAGACCTGCCAGCAGGGCCACGTGGCCCAAAGCTGGACAGCAGGGATTCAGGGTAGCAGGAGATGAAGCAGATGGACCAAGTGCTTGGGCCCCTGCACCCATGGGGAGGCCTGGATGAAGCTCCTGGCTTCGGCCTGGCCCAGCCCTGGCCGTTGTGGTCATTTAGGAAGTGAACCAGCAGGGGGAAGATATTCTCTCTTTCTCTCTCTCTCTCTCTCTCCCTCTCTCCCTCTCTCCCTCCCTCCCTCTCTCTCTCTCCTCCTTCTCTAACTTTTGACTTTCAAATAAATTAAAATTTAAAAAGAATATGGAGACCTTGTTTGGACCCTGATTTGAACAAAGCAACATTTCTGAGAATATCAGAGAATATGAAAAACATACTGGTTGTTGGGAACAATACAGGACTTTTGTACTTTTTTCAGAAATAATAATGGAATTAAGGTTATATTTAAAAATCCTTATCAGAGGTCAGCACAGCAGAAAAAGCCAATGCCTGTGATGCCGGCATGCTACTGGAGCACTGGCTCATGTCCCGGCTGCTCTACTTCTGATCCAACTCCCTGCTAATGGCCTGAGGAAAGCAGCAGAGAGATGGCCCAAGCGTTGCACTCCTGTACCCACATGCAAGGCCCAGATGAAGCTCCTGGCTCCTGGCTCCAACCTTAGCCTAGCCCTGGCCATTTCAGCCATCTGAGGGGTAAACCAGCAGGTTGAAGATTTTTTTTTTTTTTTTTTTTTTTTTTTCCTTCCCTCCCTCCTTTTCCCCCCCCCCCCCCCCGTCGCGTCCTCGCTCTGTAACTCTGAATTCCAAATAAATACATAAATCTTTTTTTAAAATCCTGGGGTTTGTATTGTGGCATAGTGGGTAAAACTATCTCTTACAAGGCTAGCATCCCATTTGGGTGCCGGTTCGAGTCCCAGCTGCTGCACTTCCAATCCAGCTCCCTGGCCTGGGGAAAGCAGCAGAATGGGAATGGCGCTTGGGCCCTGCCACTTATGAGTGGCAAACTCATAAGAAGCCCCTGGCTCCTGGCTTCAGCCTGGTCCAGCCCCAGACATTTAGGTCATCTGAGGAGTGAACAGAGGATGGAAGATCTCTCTGTCTCTCCCTCTCCTTCTGTAACTCTGACTTTCAAATACATAAATAAAAACCTTTTTAAAAAACCCTTATCAGTTAAAAATATATACTAATCATTTATGGGTCAAGTTAAAGAGTGTCCAAAACACATTTTTAAATATTCCATCAAAGGAACAAAAAAAAGCTATGGGGAAAATTATTGGCAACTTTGAAACTGGGTAATGGGTACATGGAGGATTAATATGTTATTTTCTCTGCTTTTATGCAACCTTGAAATTTTCATGATACAAAGCTTAATTGATAAAAAGGAAAAGAGGGTGGCGCCAACCCTGATGAGGAAGGTGAGGTGAGGCTGGGAGTGGGCACAGGCCAGCATGACCTTGGCAAGAGGTTTCTGCAGAGTGGGGGTGGCGCTGGCTGGGAGAAAGGGGTCAGAGGCCACGAGAAAGCCTGTGGGAAGGCTGGAGGCAGGGCTTTTGTTTTTCAGGTAGGAAAGTCTTGAGCACTGTTGGTCACTCCTGCAGGAGGCGGGGCTGCAAGCATGGGGAGGGCAGACCCTGAGGGAGCCCACAAAAGAAGGAGAGGTGGGGGCGTCTGAGTTGTGCTTTCTGGATGGGGGCTGCTGTGGGAGCGACATGCAGGCTGCAGAAGGTGGAGGAGACTGGAGGGAGAAGAGGACCAGGAATTGAACTGGCTCCGGGCCTCCCTGAGGGCTACACCCCACGTCAGCCCCTCTCGCCATTGTTTGGGGCCAAGCAACGGGCAGCCCCCTCACAGCCCCCTGCACCGTGCGAACAGGCCAGGCCTGCTTCTGGCAACTCAAGAGACTTCTTGTGGGTATTGGGAGGCACCATGGACGGCAGGGCTGAGGGCAGTGGGCACGATGTTAGTAGACCGGCTCAGATGAGCTGGTCAACTTGCGGGTCTCTCACCATCCCTGCCTATCTCCAGCCCCTCAGGACTGCCACCCTGCTCAGCTCCCTTTGCAGCAACTCTGAAGGCCAGAGGCTACGTCTGGGGGACCTGGGCCTCTTCAGCTGGTCCCAGGGCACAGCAGGGCGTGGTGAGGGCTGGACCCCCTGGCAGAGCCCACCCAGCCAATCCTCTGGGTCCAGGCTCTCCTCTCTCCCTGCCCTGTCAACGTGGGTCACTGGCTGCTGTCCTCACTGCCACCCACAGCGACCCTATCACTATTCACCCCCACCCTGTTCTGCTCCCCTCCACCACTCTCCCTGAGAGTGACAGCCCCGCCCAAGCAGCCCAGAAAGGAAACAGATTTAGGGCGAGGCCAGGAATGAGGACACTAAGGGAGGAGGCAGCCTTGGGAGACTGTTGGGAGCCCCCGAGCACCAGGCACCCCTGGAAGGCATCTCCCCCACCCCCTCAGCCTGGGGAAGGCACAGGTTTGCCTGGGTGGGGGGCCCGGGAGCCACACTCACTTCTTGCCCAGCTGCCGGGCCACGTCACAGCGCTGGAAGCCCTCCAGGTGGAAGAGGCGGCGGGCCAGCCGGCGAGCAGCCTCGCTCATGCCCTGGCACCCGTTGGCCAGAGGGTCTGTGCCGCCAGGCTCCAGCCCCTCCGAGCTGCTCAGCTCCGAGTCCGAATCCGACAGGCCGTCCTTCAGGCTGGGGTCGCTGTGGACAGAGGGGAGTATTCGGGAGACCCCGGGCCTGTGTGAGATGGGTAGGTCACCCTGGGCCTCTGAAAACCCACTGGGGCCGGAGCAGGAAAAACAGCCCCCAAGGCAGGAGGGGTTCCAGTTACAGGTCCAGGGCTCCTCAAGTGACACCGTGTGCCCCCAGCACAGTTCCCAGACCCCATCCGAGCGGAGAAGGCCTGGAGGAGCAGCATGGACGCTGAGGCCGCAGGCTGGGAAGTCTCGGTGCAGAGGATGACAAGGTGACCTTGGAGAGGCCGTGGTACCTTTGGCCACTGGGTCGCTAACTCGTTTGGCTGCCTCCCTGTCTCCCTTCCTCGCTCTGCTCCATGGTCCCCCTCACCCCCCAGCCCAGTCCCTGTCTCACCTGGCTGAGTTCAGCAACTTGTCTGTGTCCTCCTCTTCCTCCTCCTCTTCCTCCTCCTCCCCGCCTGGGCCCGGGGGCCCATCTTCATGGAATCCATTGGGCACGGCCGTGACAGACAGGCGGCTCAGGACATTCTCTGAGCGGCTGCAGGAGATGGAGCGCCGCAGGGGGCTGCCCAGCTCTCCCTCACCACCAGCTGCCCCCATGTCCCCCTCGGGCCCCATGTCCCCAATGCCCAGCCCGGCCCCCGGCTCAGGGCTGTCACGGGCCCGTTGCTGGATCAGGGGTGTGAGAGGGGCCTCAAAGCTGACACAGCTGTCACTCTCGTCCGTGAGGCTCAGCGCATCCAGGGAGTCGAGGCTGCTGTACTGGGTGCCCCGCAGCAGCTCTGATTCCAGAATCTTCTCAAACGTGGCGCTGAAACCGTCCCGTACATCTGGCTCCCCAGGGTCACCCAGCCTGTAGGAAGCAAGGACCCAGTCACCATCCTACGCAGGTGTTCCCATTCAGGTGCTGGCCACCAGGCAAGTCTGTGTCTAGGAGCCCACTGGGGGCAGAGAGGCGGCATTGACTATGCCCTGCCTACTGACTCCATCAGCAGTACTTCCAGGGCACCAGACAGCAGGCGCTGGGCTGGGGGCTGAGAACACAGCCCCCTGGGGAGGCATCAAGTAGTTCCCTGAAGAATGACAGTGAGACCTATTCCCTCGGTCCAGCCTGCCTCCCAGCTCAGGTCACACTGGCTCCCGACACCCCTGTCCTCACAGCCTGGGGGCTTCTTCACTGGGCCAACTGCTCCCCAGGTCTCAGGTCTTGCCCTAAACGTCACAGCCACGACAACCAGAGGGGGCGAGCCCACATGGAGCTCTGTCTCGTGATTCTCCCTCCTCGGGGCATCCTGGTGGCCTGTGATAGCCCATTCACTCCCTGCTTCCTCTATGTTCTCCAGCCTCCACCCAGACAAACCTTCACGAGGCACAAGTCTGCCCAGCAAAGACTCCTCTGCCAGCCTGCGCCAGGCACCAGAGGCATCCAAACAAGACAGAGCCCCGTGGGCCTGGCACTGCCAGAGCCATGCGTGGTGCCTGTCTCCCCCCAGGGCCTTTTGAGAACACTGCAATACTAGTGCCCAGCCCGGGGAGAGGGACTGCAGTGCTCTCGGGCACACACTGTTTGTGGCCAAGCAATGGGCACAAGCCCACCAGCTTTTAGTTCCCTCTTGTGGCTCAATCTTCCCCAAACACCCGGAAGCTGCGCAAAATCAAGACAGGAGCTTCCATCCAATGCATGAGAAAAATGAGCACCAGAGAGGTGAGAAGACTAGGCCCAGGCCACAGAGCAATTGCATGCAAGGAGCCCCACCCCAAGACACCCACTTACCCCAGCTGAGGGTCCTCCGTGTCAGCATCGTGCCCTCCCGCCAGCCCACCAGCCCTCCAGGGCCTGGGCTCTGTGCCACCTTCCAGAATGTTTGAGTCTTGTCCCGGAGCTAAGCCATTGGTGAGGGAGAGGTCAAGGCTGAGGCTGTGGGGGGCCCCGTCCTGGTCCTCTGCAGGCTCCTCTGTGTGCCCCAGGCATCCTCTTTCCTTGTGCCCTGGGCTGCCAAGGCTGCAGCTCAGGTCCTCGTCGGGTTGGACCCCAGGTGCTTCTTCAGGCTCCAGGCTGGAGTCCCCGGCAGCATTGCCTTCCTCGGGCAGGGAGGGAGGGAGACTGTCCTCGTCCATGGCAGCCACTGCTTCCAGTCTGTGCTGGCTGCTCCACTAGACCTGGTGACAGAGAGACACACAGTCATGTGGAATGCAGGGCAGGGGCTGGGAGCTGCAGCCCAGCAGAAGCTGCACCGGGAGAATGGTGGGACACTGTCCTCAGAACCCCTCTCTAGAGTCTGAGCTCCGCTCACGGCTCCCGCACTTCCCTGCTCGGGCCAGCCTCTGCGTAGACAGGAGCTGCACTGACACTCAGAACAGGGACGTGAGGACCCCAGTTCATGTTGAATCTGCCACCATGCCTGCCTTGGGCCCGATCCCTGTCTGCTCTGTTACCCGCTGTGTTTCTGCTGTGTCCAAATTCTCCAAAGCCCTCTGAGGAAGACCTGGGTGGGGAGGACCTGCGGACAGGCCCAGTGGCCCCTGCAAGCCCCACTTCAATCCATGGTGAAGGCGAGGGAACGGGAGCCCAGGTTGACAGCAGCCAACCACACATCTCCTGCCCCACTGCGTATCTCCCTGGTTACAGGAGCGGGAGCCGAGCACACCTGACTGGGTCATGGAGGGAACTGTGCTGGGGGCTGCTTTTGAGGGGGAGTTAAGAAAGCAGGCGAGAAAATCAACAGAAATCAACAGCTTTGTCAGAGCAGGACCACCCTAGCAAAGCCAAAGTGAAACCTGGAAACAGTCACAGGCCACCGAGAGGCCTGGCGTGAGGCGCTGTCCAGGGTGCTGGGCGGGTGCTGGGCCACCGGGGAGCCTCTCAGAGAGCAAAGACTGCCCGAGTGGAGAAGGAGGGAGGAGACCTGGGGTTTCCCTCCACACCAGAGCTCACCCAGCCGCAAAACAGGCCGCGAGGGCCCCTGTACGGACAGCACTGCAAGAGGAGTCAGGCCCTGCTCCGCCCAGCTCGCCTTGGGGCCTCACGTGGGTACAGGCCAGCCCCTTGTTCCTCTGCTGTGCTCTGGGTCTCTTCTCTTCTGAAAAGTGAGGACACCGCTGTGCCCCACCCTCGCCACCCCATGCTCCAGAGAAATCCCGGCAGCGAGGCAGAAGCCACGTGTTCTGGGCTGGGCTCTGGCTCTCTCCTCCTCCGCTTTCTGCCCCCAGCCACCTGGTGACCTCTGCCAGAGGGGACACAGCACAGGCCCTCAAGACACCTACAGAGCTGCAGAAAAGCAGGCCCCTGAAGCATTTCTCCCAGTCCTGGTGGGTCCACCTCCTTCCTCCCCTCTCGGGCCCTGGCTACCCCCACAGCAGCCCCACTCCGCTCCACACAGGGGCTTGGGGTTTGGGAGAGGCTGGAGGGGGAGGGGCACGGCTCGGCCTTCTGGGCAGCCTCAGAACAAGCTGCAAGTCACTCAGACTTCCCGTACGGATGCTCCCTGACTTCGGATGCTTCCACCTGACAGCTTTTCAGCTTTCCCATGGTGCCAGCACGATGCACATTCAGTAGAATCCATACTTTGAATTTTTAACTGTGATCCATCACAGGCGAGGGCTCTGCAGTCTGATCCCTCCCCATGAGGCCAGGCAGCAGCAGCCACAGCTCCCAGGCAGTGACCAACCCCCTCTAGTGTGCTGTGCAGCTAGGAGGGCAGTTCAAGGTTAGGACATGCGATGCGTTCTCAACTGGACAATATTTTCGCACTTGTGCTAGGTTCACTGGGATGTGACTGCATTGCAAGTCAGAGAGCACCCATAACAGCTTGCCCATAAGTCTTACTGGAGGGGCTTGTTAAATACAGACTACTGAGCCCTACTACCACAAGCCTCCTGAACCTAAGTTTACAGGGAAGGGATTTTGTAAACTGTTATTCTAATGAGGTAAGTGTGGGAAACACCAAGTTAGACTCTAGGAGGAACTTCCCACCTAGGGAAGATGAACCTGGGAGGCAGCAGGCCTGCTCCTCCAGGGACTTCCAGGGCTTTGATGAGGTCTCAGCCACCACCGATCCACCAGTTAGACTTCATCTAACCCTGGGCTTTCACATAGGGAGTAGAAAAGCAGGGGGCAGGACAGGCCATCTGAGCCCCAGCCCAGTCTCTCTGGTCACCTACTGGAGTATGGGCTCCTGCAGGAAACCAAGACTTTAAAAAAATTTTAAAAAACCACAGATTCAAACAATATGAAGAGCCAGGTTCCAGAATATCTAGGCCCTGCTAGGACACCGGGGACCCCTAGGGGCTCAGCACTGAGTGAGGGATCTTTTCTGGTCCGCCCTAAATCCCTGCTGCCGCTGCTATTTCAATCTGTTCCTTCTCAGAGGAAAGACAGGAGGTCACCTCCTCCCCAGAGACTCCTTTGGGGAGGAGGGGCCGCTGGGAAAGGAGAGGGGAGAGCAATTAGGGCCTTCAGGCCCCAGCCTGAGTCAAAGTCCCTGGCCTGCTTGCTATCCTAGAGCCTGAAACAGCACGGGCTTGAGGGCTGCCGACGCCCCTAGGATGCCCCCAGCCCCCGCACCCACACAGAGAGGCTGAGTCTGGCTGGGCCGGTGCCCCCACTCTGATCAGGGCTGTGTGGGCCCCCCAGGGAAACCCTGAGGCTTGAAAGTGTAAGTGGCTGCATTTGATGTTCAGTCTGCACTAGTCCCAAATCCAGGGCTGGGGATGAATCAGAGACCTCTTGAGAGACCCCTACACCAACCCCCAACTTCCAGCAGCTGCCTCAGACGCGCTCCAGCCCTACCTGCTCTGCTATGTTCCCCTCAGCTCGGAGCAAAACGGACGTTCTGCCAACACTGGGCACTGGGCCGTGTCCTCGGTCTCAGGGGGTGCGCAGACAAGGGGCCGCATTCATCTCCACTCTGGGCGGGGGGCCCAGAGTCCCTGCCTGGGAGGAGGGCCAGTTTAGCCCAAAAATAGCTGAGCCAGGACCCCCTCTTTCTGATCCCAAGAGAGGGGTACATAGAGGGAAGGCCCCACCACCCCTCTCAGCATCACTCTGTGCCCTGGGTCTCACCAGGGCCACCTCTGGCCTTGGGGAACCCATCTGCACAGGGGGAGCCTTACCTCTGTCCTTCCCCAGGGCCACAGAGAGAACATAAAGTCACAAATGTAGACGGAGATGAGATCCAAGGAGGAGCAGACACCACAGAGGTCAAGGCTAAAAGGCAGCTCTGCTCCATCCTCCAGCACCACTTTCAGCAAATGGGGAGACTGAGGCACAGAGCCCAGGGAAGCTTCCATGAGGTTAGGCAGTGGGTAGCTGCTGCTAGAACCTAAGAGTGGCCTCCTTCTGCTTGTAGAGGGGCTAGAGGTACAGGATAATCCCCCCGTTTCCCAGGACCTCGCCGGACCTTGCTATAAGATCAAGGGCCCAAATCCTCCATCAGGAGAGCCAGCCAGGGGCTGACACCATGGCTCACTTGGTTAATCCTCCGCCTGCAGTGCCACCATCCCATATGGGCACGGGTTCTAGTCCTGGTTGCTCCTCTTCCGGTCCAGCTCTCTGCTGTGGCCCGGGAGGGCAGTGGAGGATGGCCCAAGTGCTTGGGCCCTGCACCCGCATGGGAGACCAGGAGGAAGCACCTGGCTCCTGGCTTCAGATCGGCGCAGCAGTGACCCTGCCCACCTCCAAGCCCACTGGTGAGGGCAGGGGATGGCGTGCAGCTGGGCCACTGGGCACCCACGTCAAGGAGATGCCTCAGATGACAGGGTAACAGGGGCCAGGGTACCTCCGCAGCCTCTCTCAGCCTAATGCCAGTCTCACTCCAGCAGGGGTCTTTTTTTCTTTTTCTTTTTCTTTTTTTTTCTTTTTTGACAGGCAGAGTTAGACAGTGAGATAGAGAGAGACAGAGAGAAAGGTCTTCCTTCCGTTGGTTCACCTCCCAAATGGCCACTATGTGCAGCCGACGCACCGCACCGATCCAAAGCCAGGAGCCAGGTGCTTCTCCTGGTCTCCCATGTGGGTGCAGGGCCCAAGCACTTGGGCCATCCTCCACTGCTCTCCCGGGCCACAGCAGAGAGCTGGCCTGAAAGAGGAGCAACAGGGACAGAATCCAGTGCCCCAACCAGGACTAGAACCCAGGGTGCCAGCGCTACAGGCAGAGGATTAGCCTAGTGAGCCACGGTGCCGGCCCCAGCAGGGTTCTTGAGATGACCTTGGGCAGCTGAGATGGGGACCATGATGAGAGTGAAACCCCGGCTGGGCCAGGACTGAGTGCTGAGCCAAGCACTTTATGAATCTCTGCTGCTCCTCCGACAACCCAGTCCTCCTTCCCCCTTTCAGGCGGCAGCCAGTGTGGACTGTGCAAACATCAATTACATCGCATCCCTCCCTCACAACCCTCTAATGATTGCCTTTTTTTTTTTTTTTTTTTTTGGACCGGCAGAGTGGACAGTGAGAGAGAGAGACAGAGAGAAAGGTCTTCCTTTTGCCGTTGGTTCACCCTCCAATGGCCGCCGCGGCCAGCGTGCTGCAGCCAGCACACTGCGCCAATCCGAAGGCAGGAGCCAGGTGCTTCTCCTGGTCTCCCATGGGGTGCAGGGCCCAAGGACTTGGGCCATCCTCCACTGCACTCCTGGGCCATAGCAGAGAGCTGGACAGAAAGAGGAGCACCCGGGACAGAATCCAGCGCCCCAACCGGGACTAGAACCCGGTGTGCCGGCGCCGCAAGGCGGAGGATTAGCCTGTTGAGCCACGGGGCCGGCCATAATGATTGCCATTTCACTGCGGCCAGAATCCACTCCCCCAGCACGGGCCACACTGGTCCTTCCTGAGCTAATTCTGCTGCCCTCTGCCCATCATCCTCCCACCATCAGCCGCTCTGGCCTTTCTACTGCCTGCACTCGTTCCCACCTCTGGGCCTTGGTACCACCAATATCATGCTCCTTCCTGGATCTTTAAATCATGGTCTCTTCTGCCATCCAGGGCTCAACCCCAGGGCTGACCCTGACCACCAGGCACTCTGTCACACTTCGCTGGAGCGTCACAGAACAAAACAGAGTGGGCTCTCCTTTCTGTACCTGGTACTTATTTCCTGTCGCTCTGCCTGACCAGGAGGTAGGTTCAGTGAAGGTGCAAACTCTCAGGTTCACAGCTCTCTCCCCAAAGCCTAGCGCAGTGCTGGGGGCCAAGTTGGCATTTTGCCAAACACTGCTGAATGAATAACCTGAAGGTTCTCAGCACTCCCATTTCTGGCAGAGGCTGAGAGAGGTCGGGGACACACTCAGGGTTGCAAAGATGGAGAGAAGCGAGAGGGAGAACCTGCTTGGAGCTCCAGGCTATGGTCTGGACACTCACAGTTCCTTCCACGCTGGGACCCACACCAGGGATAGTGCAAAGGTGGAGGACAGGGCTGGAGGGAGGGCCCAGCAGGGAGGGCTCCAGGGTCAGCTCACTAGGTGGACACGGGGGAAGTATGTGGCCGAAAGCTCCTGGTGTGTGTCTGCAAGCAACCACACACTGCAGGCACCTGTGAGCACACACGTGAGCTCACACACACAGCACACACTGCAGGCACCTGTGAGCACACACGTGAACACACACAGTACACACTGCAGACACCTGTGAGCACACACACACAGTACACAATGCAGGCACCTGTGGGCACACACGTGAGCTCACACACACAGTACACACTGCAGGCACCTGTGGGCACACACGTGAGCTCACACACACAGTACACACTGCAGACACCTGTGAGCACACACACACAGTACACACTGCAGACACCTGTGAGCACACACATGAGCGCACACACACACAGTACATACTGCAGGCACCTATGAGCACACACGTGAACACACACACACAGACCACACTGCAGGCACCTGTGGGTACACACATGAACACACACAGCACACACTGCAGGCAACCGTGGGCACACATGTGAGCTCACACACACAGTACACACTGCAGGCAACCGTGGGCACACACGTGAGCTCACACAGTACACACTGCAGGCAGCTGCAGGCATGCATGGACACACACACGGACCTGGGAAGCTGCTCAGAGCCAGTCCCTCTGGGAGGTGAGATGGGAATGCAGGGCGTACCAGCCCAGAGGCAGGACAGCTGGAGCTACAGCACTGGGCATCCAGGGTAGAAATCCTCCTGCTTGGAGAGAAGCAAGGGACGTGGAGGGGACCACCCAGAGCTCCACGCTTGGGTGGGGAGCGAGGGGGCCGGGCACCCACACTACAGGGGCAGCAGGGCCTGGCTGGGTGTGAGAGGACAGGAGAGCCAGGCTGAGGGCTCACAGTGCTGCACACCACCTGGGACAGGCACAATCCAGGCCTGTGGGAGGCGAGTGTGTACACAGGGCTGCGGTCAGGGAAGACTGCTTCAGCAGGTCAGTGTGAGGGCAAGGCCGAGACCACAGCTGTCCCAGGAAGCGGGGCTGAGACACTCAGGCACTGCCCGCAATGGGCTAGGAGAGTCTGGAGAAATGAGCCCCTCCCCAGGCTCGTTTCCCCGCACACGGCAGAGACCCCTGACTGTGTGCAAGTCCCAGACCTCCCTGAGCATCTGATGGAGCAGGGGATCCCACCCTAGACAGAAGGCCTCACAGGTGCACATGTTCCGGACATACACAGGGAGACTCACAGCCCAGATGCCCATCCGTAGGCCCTGAGCACCAGCCCCCACCTGGACAGTGGCTAAAGAGCTTCTCCCTTGAACGCTTACAGAGAGTTCCACAAGGCCTATGCGGCAAAAGAAGACAGAAACCTGTCACTATATCACCTATTCTCTGCCCAGAAACCCACTGCTTCCCCTGAGTTCCTACCATACCAACCAGCTCCGTAGTTCCCCCAGATGGTAGCACAGGGGCTGAGATCTCTCTCTCTCTCTCTCTCTCTCTCTCTCTCTCTCTCTCTCTCTCTCTCACACACACACACACACACACAAGTGAGCACTCAGACACTTAAACGGCCCACCTGTGGGAGTGCTCAGAATGGATACTGACCAGCTGAGCTCCACAGCCCCAGGGGCTCAGGCTGGCCCAGGCCTGCGTGCTCTGGGGCTCAAAGCAATCTGCCAGGCCACTGACAACACAGGCAGGAAGGAGCTGCCAGGGAGCCCCTGGGCCAGGGCCTGGATCACACAGCTCATCGTGTACCCCAAAGTGTCTGCTGGGCCTGGAGGTCAGAGCTCCACACTCCTCCCTAGCCCCAGGTCAGCCTGGACATGCCCCTTGCAACATCTCAACTGCCCAGAGCAAGGAGTGTCAAGAATAATATGGAGGCATGGAGTGGGGGAGGGTCCACCCAGGAGCCTCGGGAACTTCCCTGCCTCTACACCCCAAGGTGGCTCTAAACCATCTCCCCAGCTAGGACCACCTTGTGCAGCAGCAAGTGCCTCAGACTGAGATGGCCCGTTCAGCAGGTCATGACCCTAACTGCATGGTCACAATGACCTGCTACAGTGCCAGCTCTGCTACCCAGGCGTTGCATATCCTCAGGAAATGTGCCCACTTCTCTGAGCCTCAGAGTTCTCCTTGGTATGACAGGGATACCAACAGCACCTGCCTTGCAGGGCTGCTGGGAGGACAAAAGGAGATGGTGTATATAGGTGGCGCTTAAGGAAGGGAGCGCCAGCTCCATCCCAGACCTCCTGGGCTCTGCAGGGGAACCAGCAGGCTGCCCCCAGCTGGCGTGCAGGATGTCCCAGAGAGCAGCATGCAGCGCAGGCCATTTGGCAGGTGCTTGGAGGTGTCAGTCCTTGCACCAGTCACAGAAGTTCTGAGGCTGGGGCTGAAGGCAGGAGGGAGACTCCTGGAGGGCCACAGTTCTGCTCCCACTGATATGCCCACCCAGGCCAGGCTCACTCCTACCTTTGTGTCTCAAGGCACAAGAGCCACACCAGGTGTGGGGGCAAGGTCAGGAACCTGGGCCGCTCTCAAAGATGCCATCTCCTTAAGGTAGTGCCAGTTGAGAGCCACTGACAAGCCCAGCCTCTGCCACGAGCTGTGGTGACCCGGAAGGCCTCACCTTTCCCAAGGTCGAGCAGGCAAAGGTCCCCAGGACTACTGTATATTTGCATCTTATCTGCATGTGCCCCACAGCCTGCTGGGACCCTCAGGGATCCCTGGGCTCTGCTCCGAAAAGCCCATTCCTTGACATCTCCCAGCTTGCTTCTCTCCCCATCTCCTAGCCAAATGGCACCCTCATTTGCTTAGTATTTGCATACATCTGCATACTGGTTTGGAGAGCCCTTCACACTAATGAAATCCACAACATCTGCTGTCAAATCCAAAATCATGTTTGTAGCTGGTGACTCTCGGCCGGCTGACTCCCCTACAAGGTGAATCCTGACGGTGGCAGCCACAGAGGACTAGCCATCTTGGACAGAGGAGTCCACAGCCACATGGACCCCTGCTTTGCCTCCCTGCGGCTTCGGATGGCACCTGGGATTCACCTTGCCCTGGGGCCCACGTGTGACCCATGAGCCTGCAAGCTGGGAGTCAAATTCCAACAGCTACAACAAACTGAGCAGTGTGAGTGCAGCCAACC